AATCACACACGATTATTATTTCTTATAGAAACACGCAATTACATCGTATTTAAAGCTATTATTTATACGTAGTATTTTAGTATTTCACGAATAGAGAAAAACATTTTTAAATAATACTAAAATAATAGAAATTGTATACGCCAAATATAGTTAATTAGTTAAATTTAAAGTTCTAGGAAGAAAATAATCAGAATCGTATTTGTGCATAGTAATAAAAATAATTGTCATAATATAGTAGAAAATAATAGGGAATGAGAAATAACTCATAGTCTATACAATAAATTAAAAACAAAAATAATTTTTGCTAAATGCCTTCTGGCGAGCAAAACTAGACCTTCATTGAACTCTAGAAAATATCTTTCTCTTTATTATGTATACAATATATGTGTATGAATAGCCTATAGGTATATTAAAAACAAATGTTATTATTCTTATGAAAAACTCGTAATCATAGTTTTTACGTCTTTACTGTAAATTGTCAAATTTTGAGACCAAAGTATGAAACGAAATTTTAACATAGTACTAGGTAGTGAATAGTACAAAATGTATTTATAAACGAATTATATTACTACATTCTAATTATTTACTTTGATAAGCCCGGCTGCAAGTCCCTTGAATTTATATAAAATGTTTATTGAATTTCAGATTATCTACACTTAAATTTAAATGAAAAATCCAATTCAAAATGAATATCCATATCTTTAATAACAGAAAATAACTTATATAAGTAAAAGAATTTTTTTTTTAAAGTAAATTTACAGAAAATAATTTGTAAATTAATAATTTAGAGTTAAAATTAGTTTTACTTTGCATCTAGACTGCAATACTGCAGTATTTAAAGTTTGGCATTATCAGCTAGACGTATCATAACGGGGCGATGTCATGAGATATACCTAATCATAATATACATAATATTTGATGCGGAAGACACTTGGAGGTTATCAAAAGTTGAAAGCACCTATATGTCTAGCTCAGTAGGCATGCACATTTATGATTCCGAACGAATGAATTTAAGGTGTAAAACATTAAACATATCTTCTAAACATAACTCTTCGGTGCAGTATAATAATAATTAACGATAGCACCATAACGATGTCGTCCAGCCTGTGTATGATTCTCTTTTGCGACTGTATATCATATTCTTCTGGTTGTAAAGTTTACAATGTAAACAAAGAAAATTAAACTCAAGGTGTTATAAAATCACGCACGTGTCGTCGTGCGAACAAAGGATAAAAACGTATTTTATTATTGCTTTTTAATGCTTATAATATTATGTATGGTGATTTATGTTATTAACAAACACAACCCATGAGCCACTAATGATTTACACATCGTAGTTATCCGGTGCGACCGCGGCGTGTGACATTACATAATCATTGTAATGTTTCGGTGRATCTTCTGTTTGTTTAATATATATATATATATAATGGGAACCTATTACCTATATAGGCGGGTACTTAGTGCAACCGCAGTCGTTTAACTCGTTTATGAAATTTTATTACGCAACGTCGTTATTATTGTCACACACTTATAATATGTGGTGTATGAGTAATTAGCTTGTGTTACACAAACGACCCGAACATTAGAGGATACCCATTACATACTCTAATATACTACCCGTGCACTATACATCTGCGCAAGAGAATAATATAATGAGTGGCGTATCTAGGCCGGAGCCTCTGGGGCCCAAGTTGCAGGATGGAGAAGCTCCAAATATACTTTCATCGTGACATTAAAAAAATACAAAAAAGGAAAAATAATTATAATTTTTTTGATCGGACAAAGGTTGAAAAAGATCATTTTTAAATACATTTACAATAGTACAGTGTCATAATTAAATAATTTAATTTCTGTATTTAAGAGGATCTCCAACTTATAGGGCCATCAAGTTTCACGCTATGCCACTGCAAATAATAATATAATATTATTGTTATTGAAATATTTTTGTCCACTATAGAAAACGTATGTATCTATAATGTAACGTATATGTATCCTATCCGATTCAATAACATAATATTATTGGTATCGTGATACCTGCGAGTAAGAGTGTGAATCAAAATCTGGTAACATCGAAATAATTACATCTGAGACAGAAAAATTAAAATTTTTTAACTTTACTAGCTTTGAATGTTATAAATTTATGATAACTACATATAAGTATGAAACCAATTTATCAACGGACAACGAATATTAGTCGATGATTGGAAAAATAATAATATTATATGAGTTTTCTAAAAAATTATTGTAATCATTACATATAGTTCGATATACAGCTAGTTGACACACATACAAATTATCAAA